GGCTGCTTTAGAGGCACTAATCCCTCTGCAGGCACCGGGGAGAATCCACCTACACTCCATGCAGTCTTGAGTCTTATTGTGTAAACAAAATCTCAAACACGAAATCCCTAATCCTTAATGGTTGGAGCCTTGGATACCTGTTCCCCCGTGTCCTGCCCGATGGAGGCTGCAAGAGGGGGAAGGTCTCTGCCATGTTTGCTCCCATCCTCAACCTCAGCACAGATTAAACATCTGTACATGCTTTTAACCTTGTTTTTTTTCATTTCTTCCTGGCTGTTCACACTGGTGAGCCACCCTGGCCCCCTCCCTGCTCCACTGCATTTGTTCAGCTTAGGGGATGAAACTGGGTGACATTTGGAGTTGGGATATTTAAAATGCAAATTTCCCCTGGATGGATAAGTGGAATTTGCTCCCTCTTATGAAGGGAATCTCTGGGGAGAGCCGAGCACTACGGCCAGCCTGCTCTGAATGTGAAATTCAGCCAGGGAAATCCCTGCCTCCCCCCAGCCTGGCACTTGTGGGCAAACACAGGTGCAGTAACCACCCTCCTGACCACAAAGGTATCCAGATTTTCCCCAAACACAGTGAGAGGTGAGAGCTGCAGGGCCAGCAGAGAAACCTGTGGTGTTTCTGGGTTACAGCCAGGGAGGGAGAAATCTCGGTGGCCGCTGGTGTAATCCCAGAATTGATGTTTTGTTCCTCTGCACCCAGGGTGCTGCTGATGTATTTGTCACTCCCTCCCAGCTCGGAAATCAAAGCTTTCGCCACTTTTCTTGCTGCAGAGGAACAAATGTGTGTCTGAGAGGGAGATTTACACTTTGCTTTCCTTTCTGGAAATGGAGCGTGATTTTCCAGTGACTGCAGATGCTGGGCCTGTCCTGCTGCCTTGAGAGGAGCTGCTGGGTGGGGAGAAGGAGCCCCCCACCCATCCACCCTCCCAACCTGCTTCAGCAAACCAGGTGGGTTTACACCCCGAAGGGTTTGGATAGAGGGGCTGCAGTCCTGTGTTTCCCCCTCTGCACTCACATAACTGCCCCTCCTTGTGCCCCCCTCTTTCCTCCCCCTTCTTGGTGCAGGCTCCAGGCTGGGCTGATTCACCTCCTGGCATGGCTGTACTTGAAACCTGCTAAACCCCCACGAAGGGAGAAGTGGAGCATCTTTAGGGAAAAACACCGGATTTGCTGCCAACCCCATCCAGGATGAGACTGCAGGCACCAGACTGCACACAGGGGGCACGGGGGTGTGGAAATTACATCAGGGCTGGGATGGAGAGGAGCAAAGCTGGGTTGGGAAGCACTGGGAGGGCTGGGGGGAGTTCACCTGGAGCCATTCCTGTGCATCAGCTTCATCCCTGCCTGCCCTGCCCGCCCACAGTCCCCCACTCACGCTGCAACAACTTAAAGCAAAGGGAAAAAACATAAAGCAGAAGAAGTTCAGGCAGCTCTTTGAGCTGGTCCCGGGCTCCTGCAGTGACTGGGGGCTTCCCACAAACTGTGATGCACTGAGGAATATCTGGAGCATCATAAATATACTCTGGGAATGAAGGAAAAGGGATTTGAATTTCAACTTTGGTGCATAATGTGCTTTCTCTAAAAAAAAAAAAACCAAACAGCCTTCTTGGCAGGGACCAGACAACTTCACACTAAATCTCCTGCAGGAGCATGTTGCCAGTTGCAGAGATAAAACCTCAATGAAACACAATTAGTTTCCACTTGGATTAGGCAAACTCGAGTCTCTCCTCCCCCCCAGACACCCCGGCAGCGGGATGGGCTCGGTGGCAGCCCCCTGTGTCCCCAGCCCTGCTGGGACCGGGACGGCTCTGCCCGGGGGGAGGATAACTCTCTTTCCACGGCTAAGGGGAGCTGACAAGTGATGAATACACGGAGCGCTGCAGGGCAGCCCCTGCCATCTCACCGAGGACGGCGGCTCATCACGGCTGGTTTGCTGCGGTTCTCTGAGGTTTGGAGGCTGGTGGGGAGCCTGGGGCAGGGTCTCCACGTTATCCCCTACGGTCCAGCCAGCTTGGGGTTGGGGCATGGCACTGCTGCCTCCTTTGCCAGCTCCCGAAGGAGGGAGGAGCACGCAGAGGGGATATGTTGGAGGCAAAGGTTGCTGAGAGATTTTTTTTTTTCCTTTAGGCAGGAATATCTCGAATATTGTAAATTTTTTTTTTATATATTTATTTTTTTTTCTTAAGGCTTATAAGATGGGAGGTTTTCTAGCCTTGGAGTTTTAGGCTTAAGCATCACCCATGGTGGCAGTGTCTCACCCATTTGTACCCGACTCCTTGGTGTCACTCTGAGCCCAGACATGTGTCAGGCTCGCTGTGTCATGTGTCACTGCTCCTGCATTTTTGGAGCAGGCTCACGCCTTCAGGCTGGGTCGTGGTGCCCCAGCGCCAGGATGGCAGGAACAGATCCTGGGGGAGGCAGGAAAAACGCCTGGGAGCCATCCCTGGGACAGCAGCGCTCCCCAGGTCCTGCAGGTTTTACCCTGCTGGGAGGCAGCTGACAGAGGGACCAGGAGTTGCTGGCAGGGCTCTGAGGGGAAATCAGCTTGTTAATTAAGAGCTTAATCACCCAATAACGAATGGTGGACTTAGCCCAGCCTTGAAGCAGGCCAAGCGAGTGAAGTGCCCTCAGGGAGGGCCAGAGGAGGTGAGCCGAGGGCAAGCTTTGCCTTCTGCCGTATTTGGGAATATTTGTAAGATCTGTACATGGAGAGAACAGAATCCTGCAGCCCCCTCAGTATCTCTGTCCCTGCTGTCTCCAAGGTGCCAGTGGGAGGACAGGGGTGGGGTTCACTTGTCCCTCCAACAGTGAAAATGTACCCAAGGCAAGGGGTGGACATTCCTGCTGACGGAGGAGGGAGGGGAGTTTGCGAGCTGGAAAAAGAGAAGAATTTCCTTGGCTTGGTGTGTTTTGCTGCAGAAAGGCGGTTTCAGCTCCAAGGGTAAGGGAAATGAAACAGAAAAATGCTTCCTATTAAGCAAAAGGGATGGAGAGCCCTGCATAATAGCGCTGTCTGCAGGGGCTGCTCGCTCCGCACTCGCATCCAGCGCGGCCTGGAGGGGCCGTGATACGGCAGGAGGGCTGAGGGACACGAGAACCAGCTCTGGCCTGGGGACAGCCACATCCAGCCCCATGGATGGCAGGCAGTGCCTGGGGAGAGGGCAGGTGGATGTTCACACAGATCCCTGTGGCTCCCTGGGCAGCTGCCGTGGGGAGATGGGGATGTCTCAGCCCAAGGTGTGGATTGAGATGGGTCTAAGGAGATGCTGGAGGGCGTTTGGCCAGTACCCATAGCCTGTTCTGAGACTCTCCTGACTGCTGGGAAATGGGCAGTGCCAGCATATCCTCTTGCCCTGCCTGCAACCTCATGGATCCAGAGAACAGCCCCAGCAGAGATCCCAAACCCAGCGGGCACCCCTTGCCTAGGCCACGGCTGTGGTTCTTCATCAGGAGATGTTCTTCCCCTTTGCTTTCAGATTTTTTAAAAAGCCCTAACAGACCTAGCAGTTTTGTGGCAGGAAGAACAACATTCATTCTGGAGCTTTCCCAACTAATTCATCCTCTGAGAAATTAATTATCAGCACCGGGGCTGCGTTTAATCAGCATCAATCCCTGCGTGCACAGGGTCGGGGGGTGTTGCTGCCTCTGCCTCCAGCAGCTCTGGGTTCCTGCCGGCAGGGAGGAGACCGGCTGCTGCCTGTGGGATGGGAATTGTGATCCAAGAGGGAGGAGATCCCATCCGGGAGGCCCTGACAGGTGTGCAAACACCCCCGAGGTAACAGCACCTGCCACCTACGCCCAGGCTGGGTGGAGTGATGGGGCAGCTCAGGTGCTGAGAGCGGCTCCGACACCCACACAGAAACCTCGGGGTGCTCATGGGGTTGGGAGCAGGAGTGTGGCTGTGGAAGCAGCGCTCTGTGCCCCCCATCCTGCGCTGAGGACAGCAAACCCACGCAGGTAGCGCGCACACACGCGTGGGCACGCCGGGAAGGGCGGTGTGACAATGTCTGTCTGCTGGGGGACACGGGGGCATCTGCTCCAGCAGAGCTGCCTCTGGCAGCTGTTTCCCTGACAAATGGTGTTTGGTTTGGTGGAAGAGCCTTAATGAAAGCGGTGGCGGCTGCGGGAGTGGGGAGGGGAGCGCCTGCCTGAAGGATGCTCTGGGGGAGGAAGGAGAAGGAAAGGACAAAGGGATGTGGGACGTGTCCCTTGGCAATGACCAGATATCTCCTTGCAGGATCTCGCTGCCTGGCCAGGGACAGCCGGCTCTCCACAGCCAGCTCTGCCTGGTGGGGTCTTGGCCCACCAGGAGGAGGTGTTAGTGGTGGGGGAGAGCTGAGGGTGCACTTTTTGGAAGTGGGGGTGTTGAAGGGGTTTTGGGGACCTCTGGGACTGTTGAGCTGCAGAAGCTGGAGGTCCCTGGAGATGGGGACGTGTTTCTGTCATACTTGTGCCCTCTAGTGGTTCTGTCCTCTCCCTCTGGTCCCTTGGCCACCATCCCAGTGACACGACCCCGCTCCTGGTCCTGTGGCCACCATCCTGGGGTGGCCGGGGTCAGCCTGTGCCTCTGGCACTGCCAGCCTTGGCATTCTTGGGTGTGGGGAAATGCTGGGCAAGAAGGGTTTAGCTGAGGCCAGGAGGGCACCTGATGATGACTTCCCCACGGTCATCACCTTCCTGCTGGAAGGGAGTGCTTGTCCTTGGTTTCAAGATGCTTTGGCATGGAAATGTAATTTTTTAGATTTGTGGGGACGAAATGGGCTCCATAACCTTTCCAGAGGCGTGATTCCTCAGCCAAAACTGTTGGGTGACTGACCCCAAAATGTATTTTATTCCAGAAAATTCAATCTTGAGATTTCTAACACAAAGTTTCTCATTTTCCACTGCTCGGGGCTGTTCTCTACCTTTCTGTTTCCTCTGTGTTTAATCACATGACAGCCTGAAAAAAAAACCTCAACACAGTTTTTTCTCATTCTACTGATGTTTCTCTTTTATCTAAAAGAAATAAAACACTCCTTTGCCTCCGGCCCGTGGCAGCCACCACATCTCAGCTGCGCTCCTGGGGGACAGGACGCCTGGATGCCCTGCAGCTGCTCCTGCCTCCCGAGCACTTCTCTCCTTCCCTGTGTCTCCTCTCTGCAGATATTTGGATCCTTCCCAGAGCTGTGGCAAGGATGTGAAAGGTGGTTTGGTGGCAGAAGTCCCTGGGTGGTTTGGTGGAGCAAGGTGAGGATTGGGTGTCATACACAGGGCAGCGTGAGCTCCTGTGTCCCCTGCAGGGACAGGGGGATGGGGGTGTCCCCATGCACTTGGCAGCCAGCCCTGCCTGTGCTCCCTCCACTAGCAGGGGATATTTCCTATCTGAGAGAGCAGATGTTGGTTGGGAGCTTCCTAAGCAGTTTCTTTTCCCTCACAGAATTGCTGCTTGGCGAGAGAATTAAATTCTCTTTTGTTGTCAGTTTAGAGGAGAACAAAACCGAATGTCACCTGGAGAAATTCTTGCTGCTGCACCCCCAGGGGATGGAACGGCTGCCTCAGGACCAGGATTAGCCCATCACTGAGAAAGCTGATGGTCCCTGATGGGATTAGACAGATGATCGATGCTGGGATTAGTTTGTGTGGTGGCTGCGGTGACAGCAGCGACCTGGAGCAGCATCACCACCTTGCTCATGCTTGCACTGGCCATCCCCTCTGTGGGGAGTGCTTGCACCCCCCAGCCCATCCCTGTGGTCTCTGGGATGGTCCCTGAGCAGTGCCAGCCCAGCGAGGAGGGGCTGGGGGCAGCCAGCACTGCCACAGATGTTCTGCAGTTTGGATTTCTCCCCCTTCCAGCCTCGTTAGTATTGAAATTAAAAGCAAGTGCTTGTGAATTGGTAGCTGTTCTCCAAGACCCTAATTAGCAAATCTCTTCATCCCCTGGGGCTGCAATCTAATAATCAAAAAAAGAAAACCAAAAAAAACCTAAAAAAACCCGGCACCCAAACAAGCCCCAAACCTTGTTTGATGGATCGGGAGTGCTACTGGAACAGTAGGAAACTGCTCTTCCTGCTTAGTATGGTAATTAAACACTTCAATTGCAATTATTTTTGCAATTAGATAAGTCTCTAATTGTTATCATAGGTGGCAGGGGTTTGGGTGTGTGTTTGCCAGTTCTCCTCCGAGCTGGAGCGGAGCGTGGATGCTGCAGGCGATTCCGGCCTGCTCCTGCCGGCTTTGTCTGGGGAAGACGAGAGCTCCGTGTGCTCCTCTGCAGGGATTCAGCTCCTGCTGCTCTGTAAAGCTGCTGCTGAGGCAAATTCTCTGTCTGCTCTGGTGGGCTCAGCCCAGGAGCTTCATAGCTCCTTATCCCATGAGGGGACCTCGCCTGCCAGGGCATCACCTTGGGGATGTTTCCTTGCCCACTGGTGTTTGGCTGGGTGCTGGGAGGCACTGGGGCTGCAGCACTCCCCTCTCTCAGCTTTCCTTGCTCTTTGGGTGATAATTGCTCTCTGTAATTAGCGGTGGCAGGGTGAAGCCCACAGTGGCACCGGTGGCAGATGCTGACAATCAGTGCTGTGGTGGCTCGGGGGGTGTTGAGGAGTTTTGGGAGTGAGTGGGGTGTGCTGTGCCAGGTCAGGGAGCCCAGCCTTGCCATGGGTGATGGTGACAGTGGGTGATACCCATGGTGTGGCTGGAGCTTGGGGCCGGGCTGTGCCTGCAGCAAGCAGGGGGAGCCCTGAGCTGGGGCCTCCTGGGGGATGGCAAAGGTGTCCCCTGCTCCATCAGCTCAGGGACCATGGAGGGACCAGCTGGTTGGTGCCACAGGGTAAGATGTGCTCTGGGGGGTGCCAGCCTTGCCCAGGGCAGCTGTGCCTGTGTCTTGGGTGTTTGTGCTGGTGTCCAGGTTCTGTCCTGGCAGAGGGATGGGCATGGGACAGCAGGGTGGAGCAGGACAGGGAGGCTCTTCCCAGGACAAAGCACATACACACACACACACACACACACACACACAGACAGAAATCAAATATCTCATTTTCCTTCTGTCTTAAATAGATTTTTATACCACTGATGATTTCTGCATACACTCAGGGAAGAAACATCCTCTTTTGGGAGCCTTACTGTTGGGCTGCTGGGGAAGGCAGAGCCTGGGGCAAACCCTGGCTGCTGAGTGTCTCCCCACGGCCCAGCAGGCTCCAGGGCTTCTCTCTGCCTTGCACTAGGGCTGGGACAGGTGATTTGGTGTAAGGACAGCCCCAGGAATGGGAGGCAGCCATGCACAGCATGCATGCTGAGGGACTGGGACGTCCTGTGCCTGGACATCCAGCACTTGTGGTTGCCAACTTCCACCACACTGAGCCCTCCTGCCACTTCACCCCCATCTACCAGGCCCTTGCCCCCTCTGATGGGTGAATACATCCCGAGGACACCAGGGAAGGTAGTGCCTGTTCTGCTTTTCTCCATCCTAGGCTGGTCTGCCTGGCACCAAGACCTCAACATCAGTCCCTTTTCCCCTCTACCCTGTGCCATGGGTCTGGAGAGGGCACACCCAGCCCTGCCTCCTGACCCAGCTCCTCAGGCATCTCTTCCTGCTCGTGTGGGGCTTGGTGCTGAAAGTGTCACTGCTCAGACAGGCCAGGGGAGATGTTCTTCTGCAGCTCCTCTGAGGGCTCTTCTAACACACCACCCTCCTGGGAAGAAACCTGGGTGGGCAGAGGCCTCTCCAGAAGTGCTTGGGGATGGAGGGAATGCCACATGCCAGAGCAGGGATCCTGCAGGGGAACACAGAGGGAGATCAGTGGCCTTACAGGACACAGATGGGTCTGTTTCCCCTCCTCTCCTGCTCCCCAGTGTAAGGGGTGCTGCATTCAGCACCTGCTGTGCCTGGGAGGGACCGTGATGTGATGCTGTGAGGATGCTCTAGGCATTCTCGACTAAATGCTGAGTGCTGGCAGAGCTGAGCAGGCTTGAAACACCCAAAGACCTATCACCCAACTCCCCTCTGAGCAATATCACTTTGCTGTGTGGCTTTCCCTGCCTGTTCTTCCTGCCCCTCGGGCCAGCTAGCAGCAGCAGGGCTGAGTTGTCAGTCATAGCCTGACAAAAGTTGATGTCCTGGAGTTGGCAGTGCTCTGCTCCCAGGGGCTGCTTCTCCCATGGCCCCTCTCCCTGCTGTGGGTCAGGAAATTTTTTGGTCAGGAATTCTTTGGTTGGGTGTCCTTTACAAGGTGGCATTTCCTGTCACCACCCCCATGGTGCAGAGAGGAAATCTGTGGTCACACCAGGACCTAAGATCTCCTGCAAACCTCTCCAGACCTCTGCTTCATTCTGCTGATTAGATCAGCAGCCTCTCAGGGGGTGGCTGGCATTTTGCCTTTATCTTACAGAAACCACATGTGTCTTAGAACAGATGCACAGAAATGGAAAGCATGAAGCAGAAGAGCTGGAATTGGTGTCCCCTCTGCCCCTGCTGCTGGGCAGTGACAGCAGCAGAGATGACACTGCCAGGGGGTGAGCACTGTGCCTGCCCTGGCAACCTTCACTTTGTGCTTTGTGGTTTCCAAACTGTTGGGTTCACCCTGCTCCTCCTGCAGGGCAGCAGTGATGCCTCCCCAAAGAACAGCATCTGCAGCCTCCAGTCCTCTGGTTCTCCTTCTGCTGGTGGGCAATGGCATTTCCAGGGTGATTCACAGGGAGTACCCCTGAGAAGTGCAGGTTTATGCTGCACCCAGGGCAGGGGGTCCCTGTACTCCATCTCTCTCCCAGCTGTGTGTGTGGACAGACAGCTCCAGCTCCCATTATTGCTGTGACCTTGGCTAAGGTTAGAAGTGCTCAGGGTGCAGCAGGGACAAAGTGTGCCCAGCTTCCAGCACGTGGGTGACTGTTTCCCCACCAAGGCACAGTCAATATGGAGAGCCCAGGTTATCAGCATGCAGCATTGGAGGGGAGAGCACGTGGAGGGCAGGGTGACCTTGCCTGACTCCTCCTGAGAAGGGCTGCACAAAGTGGCTCTCTGGAGCTGAGAGGCATCCCCATGCATGGCAGTGGTGGCCTGCAGCCCAGCACCACTTGGAGAGAGCAGCAATGCCTGGTGCAGCATCAGCTCTCCACCTCAGGAGCCCTGCCAGCATCTCCGCCAAAGCTGCTGGCAATTTACGTGGATGTAGGCTTGCATGAAAATGAAGTGTGCTGGAAATTCTTGGTGAATGCAGCTGCCTCTGCAGTGCATGAGGGACAGGCAGGATGCAGCATCTCGGGCTGGTTCTATAATCCCAAAAATCCAGAGCAGCCACAGAGGGTGGCCCAGCTCTGTGCACCTCCTCTGGGCTTGGGACTTGGTTGGAGAGCAACTAAGGATAAAAGAGTGAGGATACATCTGTGATGGGATCACCCTTTGCACCAGGTACCATCAGGAAGGGATGCCTGCAGCAGGGCAAGGACAGTGGACATCACAGCAGGGAGAGCTGCCTCCTCCCTTATTTTCACCCAGCAGCCCCAGCCTTGTACTCACCCTGCAGATCTCGCTTCTGCTGCTGAGTTTTGCGCTGAGGAAAGCTGAGTGTTGTCCTTTCAACCTCACACACAGGATTTTGGAAGAGGGCAGCCAGGAGTTAAAGGCTGGGAGATGTGGGTCCTAGGGCAGCGGGCTGGCTGAGACTCACAGAAAAGCTCCGGTGCTGGGAAGGTTAAATTGCACATGAAGACAGAAAAAAGAGAAAAAGAACAGACCAGTCTGTCAGTGCCAGCCTGGCTGAGCCTCCTTTGCTCTGAGAAGCACCAGGTCGTGTCTGCCTGAGGCTGGCAGCTGGGGCAGGCATGTTGTGAGTAGGACAGTGACCCTTTCCAATGGGAACTGGCTTCTCCTGATGCCTGGTGGGGAAAAGGGAGCAGCTGTCTTTCCCTTGCATCTCTGCTTGGTCCTACCTGGTCCTCACTGATGGAAATGCTTTCCAGCACCCAGCTGCTGTGGACATCCTGTGGCTTTTGACTCCCTGCCCTGCTCCTGACTGAGACTCTGAGTGACCCCTGAGACTGGCTGCACTTCTCCAGTATTTTCACTCTTGTTTGTTAATATTTTCCCTATGCCTCATAACTGAAAAGAACATTGTTATTAAGGGCAACGGTTCAAAATTCTGCTTTCCCTTGAATGATCCCACAGAGCTTCTGCGAGTAAAACTCTTCTGAGCTCTGGGTGTTCTTATCCTGGGGGGTTATGAGTTTTTTGAATGATTTATGTTGGTCTTTTCCTGTTAACATGTTCAGGGCAGATGAACTCTGCAGAGAGGAAAAGGGGAGAAGAACCAGCTTGGTTTATGCTAGGAGTGAAATTGGCTGCCAGGTTTTTGGTGAACAGGTAAATCCTGTGCTCACCTGTCTTATGTGGTATTAGTTGATCCTGATCATCTGCCAGCATCAGATTTTTATGTATCAGACTATGGAAAAAGGGGCTGGAAGGGGCCACATATGATCATTGGTGCGTTGTTGCTCTGAGGTGAGAGGGCTATGAAGAGAAGGAGAGAAAGTAAAAGCAGGTGCTCGAGCAACTCTTATCTGACTGTGAGCAGAAACCACAGCAGTGATGCTGTGTCGGACAGCGGGGAGCTCTCTGGATTTAGAAAGGTCAAGAAACATCCCCTTGCTTGAGTGTTCCCTCTGGGGAACCAGGGGAAGAATCTTTTCTACCCGGAAAAGCTGGGAGGGTGAAAGCCAGGAAATCAGTGACCCTGCCCTCTGCCTGAGGAACAGAAACCCATTTTTCTTCCCCTTTTATCTCCCTCCAAGTCATTATTGTGCCTTTGTGGTAAGGCAGCATTTTGAGAAGACACTGACATTTATATTTGCTTCTCTCTTGGCTGTGCAGGGAAATCCTGACAGGCTGTTCCTCATGGCCAGCTCTCCTGGTTCAGCTGCAGTGCATGAGCTCCTGCTTTGCCCAGGGGCTGCACTTCCGAGTGAGTAAACAGGATAGCTCTCTTTGTCCCTGGATGTTTGCAGAAACACCCCCACCACCTTAGACACATGTTTTCCATATGTTTTTATATACAACCTACAATTTACCAAAACTCTGGGTGCTTCACTGATTCCTTGGAAGTGGAAAAAGGCAGCCCCAGGACCTGCATTCTTGTATTTGCTCACGTTAATCCATCCCTCTGTATCACTTCTTCTGCCCCCCACTCCCTTGGGTAAAGTCACATTGGTGCCCTGGGGGAGGCACAATGCTGGCTCAGCCTTTAGAATGGCTCTGAACTTTGGTTCACCTCCCTGAGTTCTCCTTTTGGTGGCTTAAGACTGTTTCTGGGGCAGGATCAAGGGCACGTGCTGCGAGAGCGCACGAGCGCGGCTTCTTTGCCGGCACGCTGGGAACAGGGAATCAAAGGACTCCTTATCTATGGATGGAAAGTTTCTGGGCTGCTTATCAGGCAATGCTTAGAGGTTAGATTAGTCTCAGGAGCAGCAGACTGACAGCCTGCTGCTCCGTTCTCCTTGTGCTTGGCTGAGTGAACACCTTGGAGCGAGGCAGTGAGAGGGTGGCACAGCCCTGTGGGGATGGGGGTGCCCAGGGAGGGGGCTGGGGAGACAGCCTGGCACAGAAATTTCCCACTTTGCTCCCATCCAGCTCCCTCACCACACCCCTTGGTGAGGTGACCCTTGTAACATGCTTGGGATGATGCTGAGGGAATATTTGGCTCTAACTTTACATGGGTATTTGTATTTCTAAAAACCTCTGCCAGCCTAATTTGGGCTAGTCCTGCCCCTTTCCAGAGATGGGAATGGAACTTGCTGTTGGCTGAATTCACTGATGATGCAAACTGATGGCTGCAATGCTGAGGGTGCGTGGCTCCCATGGGAAGGGAAGTGGCTGAGCTGCTCTGCAGGGAGCTGGGAACCCAGATCTTGGCTCCTGCAGGGACTCTCAGCCTGGCTGCAGGTGCTCTGAATGTGTCCCAGGACTAATTCCCATTTTCCCCTCTGGGATGGGCAGTCACCTTTCCTGACCCCTCAAGCTCTGCTCTGTGCCCAGAATTTCATGTCTGTTCCTCACAAGGGACACTCAAAAGGGCTGATTTTGGGGAGCAGCTCCAGCTAACAGCTTTATCTCATTCTGTGCAGCAAATTCTGATGGCAACTGTCCCCATTACCCAGCAAAGCCAGGGGACATTTTGTGCTCCCTGTGAATGATGGCAATTCCAGGGCATGTTGGAAGCTGGAATACCTGCAGCTCCTCTGCCAGCAAGGAGGGGATGCAAGCTGTGTTCCTGTGAGTGGTGATGGATTTCTGAGTGGCTGAATTTAGGAGTTGCCTGGGCAAGGATATCCTGCTGGAGCATCAGTTTGTTCCTTAAAAGTCCACAGAGAATGTGGGGTCCCTACCTCTGCCTGCTTCTCTGGGGACAGACCTACCATCAAAGTCGTGAGTGTAGGAAGGCTCTTACCTCTTGAGGGCTCCATCGGTGAGCAGGGTCCCCTTCTTGTTCCTCACCTCCAGTTTCAAAGGTTTACCCTCCTGCCTGCCCTGGCCCTGCCTGCCCCTGGGCTGGGCATTCTGGAGGGGAGACAGGTGGGAGTTCCTGGGGTGTCCTGTCCTCCAGCACTGCAGCAAGTGCTGGTAAGCCACTCGGAAATCCCTGTTGAGCGTCCCGTAGAGGATGGGGTTCAGGGCTGAGTTGGCATAGCCCAGCCAGAGAACAATGGACATGGGTGTGCCTTTGACCCTGCTGTCCCCCCACACCCCCCGGTAGGTGAACACGGTGAAATAGGGGAACCAGCAGACGACAAACGCTCCCAGCACCACTGCCAGCGTCACGGTGGCTTTGTGCTCCTTCACCATGGGTGGCATGGGCGTGTTGCCCCACGTGTGGTTTATCCTCTTGGCCTGCTCCCTCGCTATCCTGAGTATGCGGTAGTAGGTGATGCACATGATGACCAGAGGGATGTAGAAGGTGAGCAGGGCGTCCACTAACCCGTACACGGGGTTCACCGCCAGCGTGCACTCCTTGTTGCAGGTGGGGCCTGTGTTTTGCACTGCTGTGCCGTTGGTGTTCCAGCCCAGGTGGATGGGTAGGAAGGAAACCATCAGTGAAACGGTCCAAATAACAACCAAACCCACGGCCACCCGGGAGGGAGTGACCACCTGGCAGTAGCGGAGCGGGCTGGTGACAGCGAAGTAGCGGTCCAGGCTGATCATGAAGAGGTTGAGGATGGAGGCCGTGCACAACATGACGTCCAGGCTGATGTAGATGTTGCACAAAACGCTGCCAAAGGTCCACTCCTTGGTGAGTTCATAGAAAGCAGAGAATGGCAGCACCAGAAGCCCCAGCAGCAGATCTGTGATGGCCAAGGAGACAATGATGCAGTTTGTCAAGCTCCGGAGCCGGCGGTCGAAGGTGACGGCCAGGCAGACGATGATGTTGCCACAGAGGGTGATCGTGATGAGGATGACGAGGCAGGACCCGACCAGCAGCTGCAGGGGAAAGTCCATCCTATTTTGAGAGCTTGTGTGGTTGTAACATGGATCCATGGTGTCACTGCAAGTCCTGCTCTCATCAGCTCCAAAGCTGCTTGGACTGAGCCTGTACCAGGCAGGCCTAGAGCCCTTCCCAAAGTGACCCTTGTTCTACAGTGACCTTGGAGAACATTGCAGAGTCACTTTATATGTTCAGCCTTGTGTGCTGGGAATGACATGGTCTAGAAGAGATGTGGCATTGCAACTCATTTGTGCCTGTTGGCCCCCTCTGGGAGCTCAGTGCTGGAGCTGATGCCCTGTGGCAGCTGCTGATGGATCTCAACTGCTTCTTTTTCTTTCTTGCCTTCTCCTTTCCTCTGAGTGACCCCTGGGTCAGGTCCTGTGGGCTCTCATGCCCTCTGCATGTCTGGTTGGTGACAGTGGTCAGCAGTGCTCCAGCAGGGACAGAGCTTTGCCACTTCCTGAGGACAACCTGCAAAAGGAAAGTGTCTGGTGAGGCCCTGGCACAGATTTCCCAGAGAAGCTGTGGCTGCCCCATCCCTGGAAGTGTTCAAGAGCAGGTTGGATAAGACTGAGCAATCTGGTCTAGTAAAAGGTGTCCCTGCCCTTGGCAGAGGGGTGGAATGAAATCTGTAAGATCCCTTCCAAGCCATTTTGTGATTCTACAAAAGCATCAAGTCAGAGCTGCAGTGGGCAAAGACCCTTTGAGCTTCCCCTCAAACCCCTCCAGAAACAGGGTGTCTGTACCTCCCTGGCTGTTCCAGCCCACTTAAACCCAAATTGGAAAGTCCTTTGGCAGGCAGGCACCTGTGTACCTGCCAGCTGGGCTCTCCCAGCCCTAGGGGTGCCCACGCAATGTAGGGATGCTGAGAGAAGGGCAGGGATTTTAAAACCGTCATGTTTCTATAGGCTTACAATAAAAGTGAGAACGAGGAGGATATGAGGACACAATTTTCCTGAGAAAGCAGTTCTTATGCAATCCAGCAAAATTAGTCACGACGACGTAATTTCTGTATCTTGGCTGTGGCTGCCAATCTCATTAAACTTTGCCCTTGTATCTGTGCTTTGCAGCAGCCCAGTGACTGGGATTGGTCCCTGCCATCACAAATCACAGCAGCTCCTGTCGCCTCTATAGGAAATCCCCACTCTGCTCTGGGTCCTGGAAGGGAAGAAGAATATCCCTTGCAGACCTACTTTTTCTGGCTGTTTTCTGTCTGGATACAAACAACAAAAAGCCACATTTTGCAAGGGAAGAAACAACAGAGAAAACCACTCTTACTTAAAAATGAGCTGCTGATTATGGTGATCTCCAAAACCCTGCCACTACTAGATTAAAAGGAACATTGGGTCCTTGATTGGAAGCAATATCCATGTTGAGAAGATACCTAAAGGGAAATTGAGGCAGTGCAGGGACAAGAAAGCGGGCTGGGAATGGGCTGAGGAGCTGGACTGACTTGCTGACCCTCATGGATCTGTCTGTGTCCAAGCTGTGGTCTCCCACCATGAGCTCCCCAGGTGAGATGAGGGGTCTCCCCATCCTCCTCAATGTGCTGGTGTGGGAGAGCTGTGCTGGTCCCCATGGGTGATGCACAGCCCAGCTCTGCAGGCTCTCTACACCCCATGGAGCAGCAGGGAAGCCTCCCTCATGGTGCTCAGGATTGTGCAGGAAGGTAGAGCTGATTCTCTGCAGAGTGCAACAGGCTGCAGAGATGGAGCAATCAGAAGAAACTCCGGGAAAGGAAAAGGTCCAGGCTTGTCAAAGGTGAGATTTTAAACTCCCCCTGCAACAAGAAGATAACACTGTGGTGCAGGTTGAAATACTCTTCAGATGATTTAAGTCTTTGATTCAAGTCTGAAGGCATGGGTACCACGGGAGGGAGTATGCCAGGGAGACTGCATGAGTAAACAACCACTGATTGCCAGGAGCCATACAGGGGAGAGACTGGGACTGGACCACTGAGATTAGAGGCGATTCCCACAGCCCTGCTGCTTCTAAAGGCATGGAAAGCAAACAGCAAGCCATGAACCAGCCCATGGGAAGCCTTTTGCTGAGCAGAGCAAACTCATTGCCAGACAGGAAGCCCTCTGAGTTTGGGTGCTGGGATTGAGGCTGTTGGGAGAGGGATGCGATGCTTTCAGCCACAGCAGCAGCGTGTGGAGCCGCTGTTCCTCACCTCCAGCTGCAGCACAGGCTCTTGCCATGGAAAGCTCTTTGTTCACTCACAAAGGGAGTGTGGAACAAGCTGAATGCTGCCTGCCCACTGACAGCAGCGAGGAGAACAGGTTGTTCCCACAGAAGGATATTTCCAAGTGAAAGGGATGGGATGTGTTTTCATTGCTCCCAACATGTGGAAATGGCAGATTAAATTATAGTGGGAGTAGCACACTTAGAAAATGCTGTGGGTGGATGGCAGCCTCCTACGTGGCTGCTTCACCACACACCAACAACCTGCTCCTGCCCCTGACTCTTGCAGCTCACCAGGGCTCTGCTGGTGGGACCCAGCTCTGGGCACATCGGCTCATTCAGCTTCTGCCACAGTGCCAGGCAAGCTCCTGGTTCAGCCCTGCACTGCAGATGTGCCCAGAAGGAGTTTTGCTTCTTACTGCATTTTCAGATTACCTCAGGGCAAGGAATGGGCACTTGCATGGGGACAAAGGTGTCCCCATCCCTGCAGAGGAGCTCAGGTAGTGCTGGGATCTCTGTGGCTCAATGTGAGCTGCAAGGCCCAGCTGCCTGCAAACCCTTGGGATGTTCCTCCATGGGATGGGACAGGACCTGCCTCCTGTCAGCTGGGATGTGTGATGCTGCAACCCTAACCGTGGTGGAGGTGCAGCAGAATTTCCCATACCCCTCAGCCAAATTATCTCTTGGAAACATTCCCTGAGGAGAGCACGGCCTCTGGACATGGCTTTGCAGGAGCAGCAGACTGGAGGGCTGGTACAGAGTGGGGGCTGTCAGCTCACTACCATCAGGACACAAATCCTGGGTTGATGCGTCCAGCTCAGAGCTCTCTCCTGGAGCATTGTCTCTCTGTGACTCCACATGTGCCCTGGCTTTCTGCCCAGCTCACTTGCAGCCACCTTCAATACCTGTGTCCTCTGCTCCCGTTGTGTTTTGGCAGAGCGAGTGATTTCCTCCTCGATGTACGAGTGGAGCAGCTGTTTCCCATGGCAGTCTTTCCAGCAACAGCCAGAATAAATGATACCTTTCCAGCCCTGTCTCACCAGGCAGCTTTTACATTTACCTGATTATCCTAATTATCACAGCTTAGACCTGTTCCTGGTTCAAAACCACCCTCCTGACATTGAAGGAACCAGAGCAGGGAGTTGCTTCTGGGTCATCTTTCTCGTGCCTTTTCCAATGGCACTGGTGTTCTGATTGACACTATCTCTGCTGTGAAGACTTGGCAGGTTGCATTTATTGTTGCACTCATCCTGGGGCTCCCTAAAAGTCAAATATTTTTCCTGTGGTGTTTTCAGCTGCTTAGAGTAGCAATTTTTGCTTTTAGATGCTAAGCATGTGAGCTTGTGCCAGCCCGGTGTGTTTCTGTTAATCTTCAGATCCTCTGGTTCTTCTCCTCTAATACTTGGGCCCTTGTCCAGTACAAAACTTTTCCTAAGTTTATCACCAGTACATTTCTCTTAAAGAATCCCTAATTTTCTGAGCCAAGATCACTAATGAAAACCATTAAATAAAATTTACCTCTAGGCTGATCTTTAAGGAACTCTGTTAATAGCCTTCTTTGGTGCATTAATGATCATTCTGCTGTAATATCCTATCGTCTCCCCATTATCCTCCTCACAATTCTCATAGTAATTTCTGCTTTCTCTTGCTTTCTCTTCTGCATATGTTGCAGTCCATGTTGCATTTGATCCACTGTGCTCTCCTTTAAAATGGCATTTATCTCTGGGGAGGTGATTTATTCCTGTGAAATTTCTGTTGCATTTTACCTTTTTATTCCCCCTCCCCATCTCTCAGCATCCTTTCCTCCAACATCATTAATGGCAGCACTTGGTGCAATTTTGCAGTAAGATTAATGGGATGCAGTGCCTGGCTCCAGCAGGGAATGCATTGGCTGTTCTCCCTTCCTGTGCTTCCACTTCTGGCATAATAGGTTTGTTTTGAACCTGTTAAAAGCTTGGGTACACCGGCACCATGAGCAGACACATGGGCAGAGAGGAGAGCTCAGGAAGTGCCTGCATGAGGCACTTTTGGGAAGTATTTCCCGCTTTTGGAAAGGACAGAGGTGGCTGGGGGCTCAGGAGAAGCGCCACATGAAGCCTTTTAGCTCTGTCCTAGGGACAGGAGGGCTGCTCCCTTGCAGACCTGAAATGTTCCTCTGCCTCCCATGGTAGCTTCTTTCCGAGAAAAGTGCTGGCAGAAGTCACGTAGGAGCACAGTGAATTCCCTGGCTGTGCAGAGCTCTCAGCAGAGCATCATGGCTTTTTCTGAAATAATGTTCAACTCCTTCCTGAGATTAAGCACCTGGGCATGCTGGGAGAGGTATTTCAGCCAAGAAAGGGGCAGGAGTGTGGAGGTTTCTTCTGGTCTGAGAGAGTGTGCTTGAGGTTTGGTGGCGGGAACTGCAAAACTCCCAAGCTGGGAATGGGCTTCTTGATCCCCTGCCAGGCCCATAGGCCTGATTCACAATGGGACAAGAGCAAATTTGTCAGAGGTAGGACTTGAAGGCAATGTGAGAGAGGACAAATGTGAGGGGACACTGGTGTCCTGCCTGGCTGCACCCCCCAGATGCTTCTGTCCCTGTTCCTTGGGCTTCTCCAGAGCTTGGTGCCCTCTCTGCCCTATCCCAGTGTGATGCCTGATACAAAGCAGCAATCATTGCCTCTGGCATGAGCAGAGGGGCTGGTGGAGGCAGGACAAAATTCCCATCACTGCCACCAGCCCTCCGTCATGCTTCCCCAGGAGGAAAGAGGCTCGGTGTGTAAGAAGCTGTTCAAGACCCCTGAAATCAGGAAATGTAAAGATGAATGTGGAAATGTGGAAACCAGCAGAGCAATCAGCATCTTGAAAGTTTGCTCGGCAGACAATGTCCAGGAAAGGTGAAACTGAAAACAGAGGAGCTGGGACATGGGTGTGCTTGGAGCTGCCTGAGTTTCTGGGACTCAGCCTCCTGTGAAGCCGATTCTGGACAGGGACAGCGAGCACCGTGCACCCCTGGGGACTGCCCACCCCTCCTGTGCTGCAGCCCAGCCCGGGTATCCTGCCCCGGAGATCTGAGCGTGCCCTGGGACGGGGCAGCAGCAGATCCCCACCAGCTGCCAGGGAAGGAAGGATGGAAGGGTTGGAGAGCTCAGAGAAAAGGCTCGGCTGGGTCAGTGCAAGAAGTCAGCAGCAAGCCCCGTGGGGAGGCTGCTCGGGCAGAGATGCTGCACACCACAGACGTGCACAGCCAAAAAATTCCCCAAACTGGCCTCCACTCCAGCCATCACAGGATGCTGATGGCACCGGGGGCTGGTGAAACACCTGCTCTTGCCCTGACCCAGCTGGCCCATCGCAGGATCCCACCCAGCAGGGACCCACCAGCCCTTCTGAATCTCACTTAAAAAGTATTTTACCGGCGAAACAACTCAGCAAGAAGTAAGGCAAAAGCTTTACCTGGGAAAGGCGCTGCTTTCTCACAGCTCCTGAGCGTGTGGGAGACTCCAGTGGCTGCCCTTGACTCCAAGTTTCCCCGGTGCGAGTGGCTGTGAAGGCAGGAGCGTGTGCTGCGAGCGGTGCCTGCCTCGGTCCCTCTCCCCTCTCCTCTCCTCCTCCCCTGCTCCCTCCCTCCTCCGGAGCCAGCCTCCCTCCCTGCTCCCGTACCAATATCCAGGCAGCGGTGACTGCAACATGAGTCAGACCTCGGGTGGGTGGGATCAGAGCTGTGAACTCAGACACCGAGGTTATCATCCGGCAAATTTGAAAGGCTGAGAGTGAGCCCGGCTCGGAGCGCACGGCGTGCCG